AGGATGGTCATTTTTGAAGCTAGAAGCGTGAAAGTTATTTTTTAAGCTGTTAATTAAATATATATAAATATGACATTCAAAATTTGTTAACGTTTTATCATTAAGGGGGTAAAATAAAATAAGAGATTAAAGTTTTTATTGAAATTCATCTTTTTTGAAGTTAGAATCATGATTTTTTTATTAGTAACCTAAATAATTAAAAATGCTATCCAAGTTCCATCATTATTCCATCACGTAACAAATTTAACTCTGATCCAATCAGCAGATTTTGTGAAAGTGTACAAAACATAGATTTATTCGTTTTTTATAATATTAGTGGAATCTATAAGAACGATTTAAAAGATTTCGTTTAATACCATTATGGAAAAACAATATTATCACAAGAGGGAAATAAAAGGGATCCATCTTTTAATTTAGATTGTTATTTTTTTTAATTAACTGTCACTCAGTTGCTGTTCGGGGATGTGTTTACTGTGAAACATTTTTCCCGCGAAATTCGGTTTTCGACATGAGTGATTTTAATTGCACATATTATATAAACCTCGACGGCGGTGGTCTAGCGGTTTAGCATACCGCTTTACCGGGTTCGATTCCTCGCACGGTGCAAATATGTTTTTTTATAGATGATAATGGAATGGTGCACCCGCCTGCGCTAACGGTTTACGCTGGCGGGGCAACAGTGGAGGATGATAAGATGAACATGAGGTCAGATCAGTTAGCCCATCGTGACAAATTCACCAGGAAGTTATAACGATGGTTTCCAGGAGGAACCGCGTGGAGGTCAACCTGACATGGTACATTGCTAGTAATGGGGTCATGACTAATGAGAATGATTGTTTGTATATAGTAGTTACATCAGTTGTTAAGTATCCATAACACAAGCTCTGCTTACCTTGGGACTAGATGGCGCTGTGTTAATTGTCCAGGGTTATTTATTTATTTATACACGGGATACTTGCAATGGTAATATTATTTAGGAGCTCCCGATATTTCAACACTGATACAAACAACTATATTTATTTCCGTTTATGTATTTATTGGAGTGACCAACACATCCAATATGTTTAGAATTATTTATCAATTGCAAAAAGTTTAGGTATATGGTGTTTTCTTTATTTCTTTTAAAATTTAGGGACTTGTGTACAAACTAAAGGCCAGTCCCATTGTATCCTAAAACTAATTACTACGGATATGGCAATTTGCTCACTATTGAGGTAACATTAGTGAGCAAATTGCCTTAGCCGCACTATCTGAAGGATCGGCTAAAACGCTTTGTATGGCACCAACATCCAATACATTTAATTTATGGCCTGACTTTGTCGTAGACTTTCATTCCTGGCACACTCCATCAGCAAATGATATACATCCTCTATTGTACCACCAGATACCTCACAATCTTGTGAATTACTTCTCTTCATCAGGTATGCAAACTTTGCCGATGGATAATATCCAGAAAGGAGTCTGCATTTTAACAACGTAAGATCGTATACACCTCACATAGGTATATAATTTTGACTTAATTACTTCTTGATGTAGTTGCCACGGCCTGCGTAAATATTTACGAAGTTTTTTAATATATTAATATGTTTTTTTTTTAATTTTAATTGCAATAATTTTTTTTTTTATTTTTTATATTTAGAATTAATGAACAACATTTATTTAAACAAACCACACGCAAGTTTTGGCTTATTCGTCTTATGATGAGTCTGTGTTCCGAATGACAGGTAGAGTTAAAAAGACTATTAAAAAGTGCTTATATTAAGCTTCTTTCAATAAAGATTATTTCTATTTCTATATCTATTTCTATTCCATAGCTATTTGATTGACTGTCGCGCCGTTTTTTCCAATCAAACAAATATGAACGCGTATTTTTCCTGGCCCCAGTCCAAACTTCAAATGTAGGTTACCTATAACGTATGTACATAAATTGTAACAACCTTCAGAATAATAGTACACCATTTTTTCTAACTAAACGGACTTTTATATCTGCTCTGAGTAAAATTTAACTTATTATTAATACTTCTAATATATATACGAATTTAATATATAATCCATTTAATTTTTTATATAATTCGGATGACAAACAATCTTACGGCTAACCCGATGGTAAGCGGTTAGCGTTTTTTTCAGGAATGATAATGGGATGGTGCATCCGCCTGAGTTATCTGTATACGTTGGGGTACCAGTGAAGGGACATCCTTCACGAGTACCTCGCCATGAACATGAAGTCAGGTCTTTTGTACATTGTGCTAAATTGACCTCAATTCCAGGGGGACCGCGTGGAGGTCGATATTGCTAGCAATAAGGCTACTATCTTTATCACTAACATCCCCTACACCCAGCAGTATTTTTCTTTTCATACGGATGATAATAGTACAGTGCAACCGTCTGTGTTAACGGTATACGCTGGCGGGGCACAAGTGGGGGATAACAAGATGAGTATATGGTCAGGTCAGTCAGCCCATCTAAAGTTATCAGGAATTTAACATGATAGTTTCCAGAGGGAACTGTGTGGAGGTCGCCTGACATGGTATATTGCTAGCAATAGGGTTACTATCCTCATTTATAATCTCCTTCCTCCAGCGGCATTTGTTGTCTGTGTGTTGACATTGTGGCACAGCAATGACAGGGCCCAACTTCTTGTTACGTGCCGCAACACCGACCACGGCAATGTACCTATCCCGGCTACACTACGCTACCAAGGAACAGGACATTGTTGACTACATCCGGACTAAAACAACCTGACATTGAGGGTGACGCAGTTGGAATCGACCCACAACGCGAGCTTCAAAGCGTTTTTGGCCCGGGTCCCTACGAACATGCTGCCCACCTTCATGAAGGAGGACTACTGGCCGAAGGGGGTGGTCTATCGGCGCTACCGTGGCAGATTACCGTCGTCAGTGCCGTGACAATAGAGACAATTTTATTTACATATTTTTTTATTATTTCTTATGTATGTTAGTCTATAAGGTATTTATAATATGGGCCATGTAGCCAGAGTTAAATAAATAAATAAATATAAACGAACAGAATTACGCATATCTCATTATCATATATCACCCGTGATACCATTCATACGTTTCATTTCATTACATTCCAGTAAGCTAAGATGTTATGACTCTTACCCTTTCATTTCACTGCCTAATCTCAACCTACAAAAACCTTTATAAAATAAGCTACGGGGTGACTGAAATACATCAAACTGATGTTATCTCACAGCCGACTTTTAGAGTCTAAAATATTGATATATTGACAGTGTCGGGTGTTTTCATTGGTTTTTCAGCTTATGTCACGTGAAAATGGGGCGCGGCAATTTCAATCCAGTATTTTGATGGAACTAGCAGAATGTCAATATAGTTTTAGCTTTACTTGGATTTCTCTCGTCGCTTTACCATTGTACACTGTCCTTTATGCCCGTAAATTCAATATGACATGTATTGTGCTGAAAACTATAAGCAAGATGCTTTATGTGATAGAAACTGCCTTCATTGCCGATACGGCTATTTTAGGTAAAATAGCTTTATAACTTATATACACAACCCAAAATCGCCCCGGCTTCGCCCGGGTGTACATGTATTATATATATAAACCTTCCTCTAGAAACACTCTATCTATTTAAATAAACCGCTTCAAAATTCGTTGCGTAGTTTGAAAGATTTAAGAATGCATAGACATACAGCGACAGTGACTTTGTTGTATATTATGTAATGATACATCCTTATCACTTAGGAATATAAATATACACAACAGTCTATTCTCAGACGTATCGAATATACATACAAAATTTTAACAAAATCGGTTAAGTCGTTTAGTTAACGTTGTTAGCAAGAGTTAGTCGATAGAGGAGCTCTCTAGCCATACTCCTACAGGCTACAGCGTTAGTTACGAATATATACGTATATTAGAACAAACAAATTATATATTAATAGCAATAAATTATTAGATAAAAAAATATCTTATACCAAAATTTCTTCACTGTATGGAAATGGGTTTTTATTTAGGTAATAAGGCAGTTTATCCTTTATAGTGCCTACCAAACCATACTGTGACCAAAGCGGTAAAAACTATTTTTATGGGAATCACAAGACACCTTTCATTTTCTGTGTCAAATGTTTGTGCCGTGTAATTGTGCCTCGAGAAATCGAACCCGCGACCATCGGAAGTAAAGCAGCGTGCTAAACCGCTTCACCACCGAAGCCGTCGATAGAATAATTAATATTCAATCATATTAATATATCAACTTTCAATTATAATAATGAAAATAAATGAATGATCTGTCATGGGTTTGATTTCATATCGATCATAATCTCGTGACATCGCGATTGTTCCCTCGTAATTCCGATATCGGCAGACTCAATCATTATATTGGACAACGCTATCTGATACTCTACTGCATTCGATAATCGATATTAATTATCGATAACTCTACTTTAGTCGAGTTGAAAAACTGTTTGAATGTTACGTCACGCACAGACGGCATTTCTGGAAACGCTCGCTTGTATTTTATTAAATTAATATTAAATATTTGATGGTAATGCCTCGCCAAGACAATACGAAAATCAAGGAACATCATTACATGGTATTCAATTCTAAATCTTATTTACTGTTTATATAAAAATTTGCACACACAAATTGACGGAGTGGTTGTCGAAGTGTGTCGACCGTTACCAAGTTTCTAGCAACGTCGAAATATTGGGAGTTCTTTTTATAGATGATAATGGTATGGTACACCCGCCTGCGCTAACGGTATACGCTGGTGGGGCAACGGTGTAGAATGATAAGATGAGCATAAGGTCAGGTCAACTAGCCCATCGTGACAAGTTTAACAGGAATTTATCATGATGGTTACCATGGGGAACCGCATGGTATATTAATAGCTATGGAGACATCAGTCTATATTACTAAAAATGCACTTCCCCTATTATCGGGAGTGCGACCATTGGTAAACTGCTAGAACACTGATACGCTCTATAAATTAAAATAACGGTATGCCAACTTACCAACAATAGTAGCTAAGATGATAAGTGCCAATACGACCGACGTGACCGCCATGAGGACGAGCGACGTGACGTCACTGGAGGTGGAGTTAGTGGTGGCGTTGACGGTGGTGTTGCAGCCCCACGATACCGCGTCCACCCACGAGCAGTTCTCGACGAACCACTCCGTTGGTGGGTAAGTGACTTCATCTGACAAAGAAATGGGGTTATTAATTTTTCAAAATAATAATCAACTTTCTTTTATAGCATAGAAAGACAGAAAGTAAGAGAAAGAAAGAAAGAAAGAAAGAGAAAGAAATAAAGAAACAAACAAAATATTTCCGCAGGGAACAAACGATGAAGAAACCAAAACAAGATGGATGGATCGTGTGAAAGATGATATGTATAAAATAAGAGTAAGCTCAGATGTAATGGCTGATAGAAATCAGTGTAAAAAGAGGATATAGTGCGCTGACTCCAAACAACGAGCTTGCAGGTTCTTTTGAAGAGGAATAAGATCTTTTCTTGAAGGTTTCTATATCGTTTCGCTTCGAAATTACCTTTACTGACAGGTATTGCAATATGGTTGTGCTTGGCCAAAAGTTTCTAACTTAATTCATTGGTAGTAAAACTTATGGCGATTCTTTTCTTTGGAAATAAAATGGGGTCAATAATTTTTAGCAAAGAATAAACTTAAGATAAAATTACTTTCTCTGGCAACAAAAAAGGGAAGATTTAGTGTTGAGAAAATAAAACACTAACAATATTTCAAAAAATAATTATGTATTAAAATATTATTTTGCAATAGGTTGTAATAACAACGTGGCAACGCGCACGTGATACCCCTGGTGTTTCAAGCGTCCATAGGCTACGGTAACCCTTTACCATTAGATGGGCCGTATGCCTGTTTGCCACCACAGTAGTATAAAAAAAAATTATGATTGGGCATGGTTTGTATTCATGTTAGAACAGAATACACCTACTTGTCTTACGATATGGTAAATATAGATACAACTTGAATAATATTTAAGTATAATATATTATTTTATATTAGTATATAATTTAGTATATTATAAAATACCTCAAATAATTAAAGGATTATGTTATCTAAATTGTATATGAATAGAGTCGTAGGCGTGATAGCTATTCTAATTTTATTATATAAATAGAAAACATTGAATAAAACTTCCTTTTAAAACTAAATTATTGGAACTATTCTGTTTCTTTTTTTAGTAAATGCTTTACTATAAATATAATGAAGAATAATTAAGAATAAACATATTTTCAATTTTGACAAGTAGTACAGACGTTGCTAGGAACTAGTGTATGTCTTGGTTAACTCAGATTCTTTAGAATATGAAATTTAATGATAAAAATGAAGAAACCAATATTGTATACGAAAATTGCAAACACAATACTTGAATATTTTTTTGTCAATTATTTGAGAAGTGCATGTTCTTACATTAAACGTTAAACATTATTTTATTAACGAATCTTCTTTAAGTTCAATATAGTAGAAATAATTTAATTAATTAAATATTTTAATGTAACAGAACACGGCGTGCACAGTTTAACTGTTAAAGGACTGGAGGAAGGGCGGGAATCTGTAAAAGTGTTGCCACTGATTTGGTGTTTCCGTACGCAAAATAAATATTATTAATTGTTTATGTCTTCCTATGAATATGAATAATGTTATCTTAATATTCAAATAATGTAACTTCAGTAACTTTTGTGTGAACATCTTTTAAATATGATTTCTATATACTTGGTGTAAACCAATGTTTCTCAACCTCTTTAGTGCCATGCTCCACCTTAGCCTTTCTAAAATTCTTTTGCCGCTCCTCACGCTTATGTAACATATATAATTTATAACATTAAAAAATTAAATTATTTCCTTAAGAAACTTAAATAATAGGTTTTAAGAAAATATCACTAGGAAATTGTTTATCATAATAATCATCTCAGCCCGGAAGACGTCCACTGCTGAACAAAGGCCTACAAATTGTTAATGAAATAAAATTTCAAAATATGTAATGAAAAATTGAAATTCACATTCCATATAATTTTAATAAAGAGTCTATTTTCAGATTCCCCCTTAACAATTAGAATAAGAATAAGAAAAATATTTATTTATTAAACTTAAGTATGTAGTATTATGTTATCTGTGACTTAAGTAACATTTTATCTATGACTGCACACAACAGTCAAAGTTACATTGGGACGGCGATTGGTATGGTGATTGGTATCATCGAGTGTAAATAATAATTTTGTATTTATATAATAATAATACTGATAAGATAATGTGGAATATAGACCACTTATTTAGTCTATGATCTATTTTATAAGCTTTATATTTCAAATACCAAATTCAATTCTAGATTATCACTTTTTCTATTGTTCATTTCTGTTCCTCTTCCTGGCCCTAGTTAGTAGTCTTAATTTATATAATATATTATTACTAGCTGTCACGGCAAACTATGTTTTGGCTTATTTAAAAAAATTATTAGGGATGGACTATCCCTAACATTTAGGGGGATGAAAAATAGATGTTGGCCGATTCTCAGACCTACTCAATACGCTCACAAAATTTCATGACAATCGGTCAAGCCGTTTCGGAGGAGTATGGGAACGAAAACTGTGATATGAGAATTTTATATATAAGATATATACAATTCCCTGCTTTATTTTATCGCCCACAGATATATATCAAATTGCCCTCAGCGTAGGCGAGGGCAACACGTTGGAGAACACTGGTGTACATAAATAAATACATTTTGAACAACATCAGTATTAGAAACTTCGCAAAACTCCATCTCGTTCACATGACAAGGAGCGCCTGGCGTCACTCGATAAATATTTGACACAGGAATGTCAATTGTTTGACAGCCAGGCGGAAGTTTGTGTCGAAAGTTGGATGAACTGTCAGTTGTCAGCACCGACGGCTTCATGTGAGTGGGGTTATGTGTAGTGGACGAAATATTGTCTATGTTTTTTATCTTCTTTTAACGCGCTGTAGAGGTGTAACTTTCATATTTGCACTCGTGCATGTAGACTGTGATCTCGTGAACTATAGAAATGGTTGTAATGATAAAAACTCTCGTAGAATGCTCAGTACTACAATTGTTAATAAAGAAAGAAAATATAAATTTGAAAATTGTAACATGTACGTTAGAACAATAGAAAATAAGGACTGTAAATTTAGACTTCATCGTGAAATATAATTGTGATATAATATTTTACTTTCATCTTTTATTGATGCCCTATCTACGAACCTAATTATAATTCAATATCTACTATTATTATATATATATTGGGTTTGCTGTACTGCCCAATAACATATATTACACTATGCCACCAAAGAGCAGGATATTGTCGACTATATCGAGACCAAAAGTAATCAAAATCTGACGGTGACGCAGCTGTAATCGAGTCACAATGTAAGGTACATAGCGGCTCGAGTCTCTGCCATCTTTATGAAGGAAGACTATTGGCCGAAGGGTGTACCGCCGCTACAGTGACAGATTGCCATAGTGAGTGTGGTGACCACAAAAACAATATTACTGTTTTATTTTATGTTTCATTGTTTTATATATATGTTAGCCCGTAAGGTATGGGTCAAGTTGGGTATAGTTATATAAAAAAATTTTGAATCACTACCTAGCATTTAGCCCCAAGCTAAGCAGAGCTTGTCTTATGGGTACTAGACAACTAATATATATACATAAATACTTTTTCTTCTATACATAGAAAACATCCAGACTGATATAAACAATCATACTCATGAATGCAAATGTTGGTACTGTGTGAGGAATCCAACCCGCGACCATTGAATACGAAGGCGGTATGCCAAACCGCTAGACCACCGAGGCCGAAAGGCCGAAATAATCACAGTATACTAGCTGGCCCGCGCAACTTCGTCTGCATCACACTTCATCATGATCATCATCTGAATCACACTTACTTGACATTTATCATTACATATCCAATCTACATAATATCTTTTTAAATTATAGGCTATATGTTATTCTGATATATAAGCTATATTACTGTAAAGTTTAATCAAAATTCGTTCAGTAGTTTTTGCGTGAAAGAGTAACAAACATCCATCCATACATATATCTATCTATACTCACACACTGTCTCGTTTATAATATTAGAAGATTAGAATTGATAGCACCTGCCATATGGAATTTACGACGATGTCGCGCCCTACATTCCGGCCTGTTTTTTATATACGAATATACGTTACGATTCTAGCAAATTTCAATAAAACCGATTTGCTTTTATTGAAAAGTAGGTAGGTAGGCCTTTCTCTTTCAAATCAGTCGATTTGAGAGTTTAATATGGAGTTGATTCATCTCAGAGTACTATGGTTTAGTGGATTACTGCCCCAATTTCAAAGGTCAAGACTTCGAATCCGTCTAACAAAAATCTTTGCTATTCTATTTGTCTGCTTTACTCTTGAGTGACGGAAGTACTAAGAATAAGCAAAGTTGATTGAGATAGTATTATCATTAGATTGCCATGTTACACGAAGATCATATAAAATATTTTTTTGTTTAAATCCTGGGTCATAACTATAAAATCTAGAAGTACATGTTTTTATACGAAACGGAAATAAAATTAATGAATTTTGAAACTGTTATTGACTTTAATAATGAATGGCGTCTTCAATTCGACTATAAGTTTAATATGTAACACATACATATGTATGTATGACATACATATGTATGTGTTACATATTAAATATATAGTCATACTCATACTCGTAAATCATCTATAACACACGCCTATATAATAAACTAGCTTTTGCCCGCGGCTTCGCTCGCGTTAATTTTAACCCCTTAGGGGTGGAATATATCAAAATCCTGCCTAGGATGCCTACGTCATAGTAGCTTTATGCATGCAAAGTCTCAGCCCGATCGGTTTCAAATTGACAAAGTTTCATACAAACTTTCATCCCCTATTTTATCCCCATGGGTGTAGAATTAATCAAAATCCTTTCTTAGCGGATGCCTACATCTTTACATCTACCTGCATGCCAAATTTCAGCACGATCCGTCTAGTGGTTTGGGCTGTGCGTTTATAGATCACTATGTCAGTCAGTCACCTTTGAGTTATAGCTATATGTTTAGATAATAACTCAAGTATACAAAACAATTAATCAAAAAGTTTTCCATTTAAACGAATTTGATGAATGTCTTTTATTCGAAAATTAATGGCTCTCATTTGTTCAATATGATTTTGATCAAGATCTGATAAGTAGTTTATGAGTTAATTTTTTCGTCTCAAAAGTGGTAATCAATTATGTTCTATCTGATGGTAATAATGTAATGAAAATAATAATGGAAATAAAACTCTAAATACTGATGTATTAGAATCGGTATTTGCGTGGCCAAAACATTATTACCTCAGAACGTCTCCAAAAGCACCAAAACCCACAATATGAATGATCATCCGAAAACACCCTCCAACTAAAAGAGGTTTACAGTGAATTTGCAAGCGATGAGGTCTGATCGTGTTCGGAATATAAAACAACATAGTTTTATTGACGCGCCCCGTGGAAGATTGAATCTTGTGAGTTTGATAGCGGCGTGTCTAGGCGTGATTTGATTGAGATGAGTATTAAGGCGAATGTGAGATCTAAATTGTTTTACTATCATCTATATTTGAAGAATATTGGGACTTGTAAACGTCCCACCGCTGGGCATGGTTCCACAGATGAATAGGAATAGCTAAGTGTAAGTCAAATAAAAATTTGATTATGATCCAAAAATACAGTTTAATTTAAGAGAATGTAGTGACCAGTAGAATATGCTACTGCATTTTTGTCAAAAGAAAATAATTTTATCAGTAGTGGTAACCCGAACAGACCAGTATACACCTTAACGCGTACTGCTTGTGGGACAAGCAGTACGCGTTAAGGTGTATAACGGATGAGCCAGCCATCATTGCACTCAACCCGGCTCACCATGCCGCCACAATTTGAACTTTATAGCAAGCACATTTAAAATCCACTACCTCATTTATAGCATTATGAGCATAGAACGTATCACTTACAGTATTCACTCATTACCATATTAAACTTACATTTTACTTTTATACGATTATGATGGCAATGAAGCATGCGGCTCATTTGATGGTATACGATTACCGTTGCCCATGGACGCTCGAAACATCAAGGGTGTTACGTGCGCGTTGCTGACTCTTAAGAATCCTTAATATACCCTTCTTAAGAAACCCCATACTGTAGACTCTAGAGAAAACCTCGGCAGAAAGTTCTATCCACAATCTAAGTGTACGCGGGAGGAAGGACCTCTGTAACCGCAGAAAATCCCAAAAAATGGTAATTGTATTAATAGGGAAATTATATACCTCATAAAAAACTCATGAGAAATAGTAGCAGGTTGATAGTATCTATGCTATAGGTAACATATAAGTTGATTGAAATGTATTCCTTAGGGGTATCAAATGGATTTACAGACAGTTTGTATTCTAGACATGTGAACAGTTTCGTTACCCGCAAATTCACCGTGAAACCCTTTCAGCGTGAATATTTCAGAGCCACTTGATGTAAGTAATACATAATGTTTTTTTATTGATACTTGACTTGAAGTATGTAAATTGAGTTTTGTTAACACAGTTGAGAATAGACTTACAGTAAATAAAATTATAATAAAAGTAATTACTTTTTTATAGTTATACACACAAGTATTATAAGTAAATTATATACGTAGAATATTATTAAAGGAAAAGGTATAATATTTAAAAAAATACTTATTCAAAATGTTTGATCATTCATTCATAATTTAAGAGCCACGTTTTTGTCGGTGGAGCTCTTGCCAGTTCCCACGATCTTTCATCATGCTCTTTAAATTTTGATATGACACGACTCCAATTTTGTCTCCAATTTTCTCGATGTAGCCTTGTTCTTCCCCTTCCCCTCTTTCCTTCTATATTTCCCTCAATAATCATTTCCATACATTCATTGTGCCGTTTACTAATAAGTGTTCTAACATTTTTGCTCGTCTCTTTTCTATATTTATCGTTTTTCTTTCACCCTGTGCAGTATTTCTTCATTTCTTACTTTATTTTTCCAGCTAACTCTTTTAATCCTTCTCCAACACCATATTTCAAAAGCTTCCAGGTTGTCTCTTTTATTTTGAATTAATGTCCACGTCTCATACGCAGATTACTTTGATACTAGAAATTTTATTTATTTGACTAAAGAACAAGTTAAACGCGGACGAAGTCGCGGGTAACAACTAGTATGTATATGCAATCCGAAAGACTAACGAAAGATGTCACATCTTCGTAACCTGTAATTTCTCTGCCTTATTTCTCTTCTGCCAAAACACAGCTCAGAAAGAATGTGTTTGGCGACCGAAATACGAGTAGGTGAGAAAGAGGTGTCCACACAAACGATTTTATACCTTCCAGACAAAGTCTTGGTAAAATTCCTTCATTATCACCGGCCATTAGAAAAATTCAATTAGCACGTGCCAGGAAATCATTGGAATGAAAATGAATAAACGCTTAGTGAAACGGAACGCTGTAACGAAAGGAAAGTTTGCCGAGCGGAAAATATGAAAGAGGCAAGTTTTTGTTAAATTTTCACTTTTAAAATTAATTTGCGTTTATAAACGATGGACGGCGTTGTTTTGTAAACAATTTATGTTTGTATTCGTGAACGGAAAACGTGACGGGCACTCCAATTCGTCATCTACTGACTTCGATTATGGATCTTTTTCAACGGCTAATGTTGGAATGGCAGTAGAATTAGTAGAAAATCATAAAGAATTCACTAGAAATTTATTCATCTATGTTTATTTATTTTCAGCAACTGCCCTATATTATATATACCTTACAGACTAATATATATCTAATTAAAATACTGTTTTTGTGGTTACGACAATTTTGCAGATTGGATTTGGAGTCTAATCTCATTTTAAATTAAAAAATAGAAGGAGTTTAATCCTTTTGTGTTTCATGACTACTAAATAACAAATAGAAATATTTAAATATATTTTTATATAAAATCTAATACTAAGTGAACCTATTTTAAGTGTATTGTGTATGTGTATGTATATAAACTATTCAAAATTGCGCTCTGTATTTATACAGTCCCACTATTTGTAATATAATTTTTATTCTTTTTATATATTCTTAAATTCCTTTGAGCTGTTGCTTTTATAAACAAAAAATTTGTCGTGCGTAAATTACAATGTCTTATATGAATAAATGATTTTTAATTTAAATACATATTGAATATAGTTGCTCTTTGAAGGCTTTATTGTTGTCACTTTATGGAAGTGCTCGTATTCGGCAGTATGAGATCATAAACACTTAATACTGTTTATACGTATAAAATGTTGTTTTGCTATAAATTGTAGTACTTATTCCTACAGTCCCTCAATTTTTCATTGCAGTTTCATTCCTATCTAAAATTCTTTTCCGCTCTTTTCTTCTATCACTAACATGCTTTTTTTTTCGATCGTTTGCTGGCATGTTGCCATTTTTTCCAATTGTGTCTTTATAAGTGGACCGACTTGGCAACCGCATGTTGGGATAGGTAGCATGTGTTGAATACTCTGTTCTATGTAGTAGAAAACTACAGGTCTGTATAGTTTTATTTTTTCTGCTTTACAAATTTTATTTAGAACTAGCTGTGTCCGCGACTTCATTCGCGTCATTCGTTTTTGCAACATTTTTCACTGCTGCTTCGTTTATATTTGTCGTAGCGTAATGTTATATACCTTAAAGTCTTCCTCGCCAAATAGATATCTAATACAAAAAGATTTTTTTAATTTGAACCAGTAGTTCCTGAGATTGGCGCGTTCAAAAAAACAAACTTACTCGTCAGCTTAAAAATATTAGTATAGATTTTAAGGTTTTAAAATCTGACATTTAAGATTTTAGTACTAATATGATTGTTATACAGTTTTATCTGTAGAGTAACAAATAACCCTTGTGTAAATGTTATATGGGTTTCTCTTGTTTTCCATGACTTGTTAGTATCATCTAATTAAGTTCTAAATTAGACCAGTTTTGCACAGCTCTGGTTTACTTCGAGGAGGTTTTGGGCTTACCATGTTGTATTTTTAACAGTTTTTTTTTAAATCAGTTTATTTACTTATACGTATAGTAGTAGTGTCTATGTCTAACATTAAATGAAAATCCCTTGCATGAAATACTATTGCCATGCACGCACGTCATTCAAGTAATCGTTTTGTGAGTCATGGGCTTTGCTCAATAAATATAAGTTAACAGATGTTTTAAATTTATTTATAATATACTAGCTGACCCGGCAAAAGTTGTTTTACCTAATAGTGGTTGATGATAGAAGGGTGAAAATTTAGGATTGTATGTATTTTTGTATGTTGTATCATAAAAAAATAGAATTTAGAAATTTTGTCTAAAAATTAAAAAAAAATTTTGTGTTGGACTACCACTAACATTTAGGGGTATGAAAAATAAATGTTGGCCGATTCTGAGACTTACTCAATACGCTCACAAAATTTCATGAGAATTTATCAAGCCGTTTCGGAGGAGTATGGGAACGAAAACTGTGACACGAGAATTTTATATATAAGATATACATACTATTGGTTCGGTTGAGCCCGCGTGAGAGTATTTGGGTAGCATTCATGTTAGCACCGCAGTCGCTCGCCCTCCTGTAACAAACATATATAATTATATTCTTATGCATTTAATACAAGAAATAAATAGTAACGAATTTTTTTCCTTCTTTTTGATGTAACTGGAAAGCCAAACCGAATGGCCCCTCTGCTGGTAGGTGATAACCTTCGCCTATACGCATCAACAGCATCATCATCATCTGTAACCAAATCGGTTTAACCTTTCTAAGAGAATCGCGCATAAACAAACAGATTATCTAACTTGTTTTTGGTTCTATTACGCTGAGAAATGGCGAGCTGTCGTAAGCCAGATGATTTCTCTCTTAACTACGTAATGATCATGATAGTTCTGTCAAGAGCTAAGAAGAAGAACATAGATAAAATCTCCCAATAGTAGAAATAGAAATAATCTTTATTCAAATAACTTAATATAAGCACTTTTGAATAGTCAAGTTTTTTGATTCTACCGCTTATTCGGAATGCAGACTCAACACAAGAAGAATAAGCAAGAAACTTGTTTGTTGAATGTGTGTTAGTGTGTGTGTGTCTTAGTGTATTGAATAGCTTACCTAATATGTATAGATGATATCTATGTAACTATATTAAACTGCAATCAGTTACATTTTAATTATATATATATACATATAAATATAAATACGGTACATACTAGCTGATGTAATAAGGAGTAACTTAGGCTACTTTTATATTAGAAAGATAAAGTTAAATTCCACGCGGACGAAGTCGCGAGTATAATTAGATTGACAAACAAGAATATATGTAGATGAGTAACACTTTTCTAAGATGACTAAGATGTCCTACTGCTCATATTGTAATTACACTGCTGTCACTCACTTGCAATTGCGCCACAGCGTGTCCGTACATAAAGGATCCAAAATTGGCGTTTTATTCTTTGTGTAAATTCGAGTTTTTACAAAGTAAGAACACGTAAAGGTGATAATAGATTTTTATTGGCTTGCGAGCCCAATTGGCAAATATATACACGTAAAATTATGTATTAGTATTAATCTCTCAATTGTATAACGCCATAACAACAACTCGGTATGTAAGCTACCGAATTTGGCGATTTATTCTTTGTGTAAATTCGAGTTTTTACAAAGTAAGAACACGTAAAGGTGATAATAGATTTTTATTGACTTTCGAGCCCTATTGGCAAATATATACACGTAAAATTATGTACTAGTATTAATCTCTCAATTGTAATAACAAATGTATATATTACGCCATAACAACAACTCGGTATGTAAGCTACCGAAATTGGCGTTTTATTCTTTGTGTAAATTCGAGTTTTTACAAAGACACCTATAGGTGATAATAGAACGTGAGAACATTACAAATTGAAAGTGGGCGGCGGCGTGTTCCCGTGAGTCCGAAGGTCTAACAAAGGTGATCGGACAGATTAACCTTTTCACGCAATGATAAATGAACCCCGGATCGTGTTTGTTACGATATCTTTCTGAATACTATACCATAAAACTCACATATCTTTAATATATAGTCCATAGTGCTGTTCGTGTAAAGGCGACGTTTATTTTTCTTATGGATGATAGGAATGGTGCATCTACGCTAACGGTTGACGGGGCACCAGTGGAGGATGATAAGATGAGTCAGGTCAGGTCAGTTAGCCCATCGTGGTAAATGCATCATGAATTTATCACGGTCTTCAGGGGAAACTATGTGGAGGTCAACATGATGTAGTAAATTGGGGTTATTAGTCTACATTACTGATAAGGTAACGGTAAATATATACCATCAGGCAGCCAGTCGGCTTACAATTACAAATAAATAATAATACCTTCCAATAAAATTACCATGTAGCATCATACTCTATACACGTGCCGCCTTTAGTCCTTGCAACTTCCTAGAATGTGTAATGGTGCACCATTCCAATATCATCTACAAAAAAAATAACCTCTACAAACCATCATGTTGAAGTTCTGGTAAATTTGTTAGGATAGGCTAACTGACCTGACCTCATGTTCATTCTATTATCATCCACCACTCCACTAAAAAAAAATAACCTCTACACGTTTCCACTGGAAACCATCGTGATAAATTCATTGTGAATTTACGACTGGCTTGACTTCATTCTCATTTTATCATCCTCTACTGGTGCCCGCTAGCTTAACTGTTAGCGCAGGTGGGTGTACCATTTCATTATCATCTATAAGAAAAAAAATAGACCGATTAACTCATCCCGCCTCTACATACTTATACGAATAGGTAGGCGTGGACATAATTACTTTTGTGATGTATTCACTACTTTCAAAGGATCCGCCCACAGACTCACTTAAATACAAGATTAATTAAGATTGACCTACGAAAATAAATGGATTATACATAGGATTGAAATTATTATTAGCACATAAAAACCAAACATGCGAAGTACATACATAATACATGAATATTATTGTTATATAGACATGTTAGTCTATAAGGTATTTATAATGTGGGACATTAGTATCCAGAAATAAATAAATAATACACAGAAAAAATACGGAATAGAAAAATAAAACACGTCACGTAAAACAACTGTTAAAGAAAATATCTTTACTAATTTATAAAAAACATCGAATATCTGTGGTTAAACCGTTTAGATTTAATTTATCTTAAGCATACTAAAATTTCACTTGATTAATAGACTATAAGTGTGAAAACCTGTAAATGGCCTCTATGATTTAATATATATTTATTACAATGTTTATAAATAGCCATGGTTTTTCGAATAAAATAAATGCGCTATCAATCACTTATTGACTAAATTCTATTCGAGATACGCAATGTAGTTCTGAAATATATAACTGGCCGTTAATAAAGCAAACATCTTTTTAAATAAAAAAGAAGAAAAAAGAGAACACCCTCATCGTTACCCCTCCGACGGGGGAATAGTCTTTTGAAGAAGTTTTCAGACGATAAAAAAAATGGTATCCCATATGCTTTACGTGTCTCCCATTTGCAGCAATACAAAAATGAGAAGCATTCCTTCTTCCCATTCCAGAACCCCTGGCAAAAAGTGAAGAGAAGGGACAACGGTTTTTAGGTAGTAAGAGTCCGGCAGTACTCGTTTATATACCCTGGGTCGGGCGCGTATCTATGAGGATTTTCCCCAAGTAAAAAAGGGTGTGTATAGGCAACAGTTACCACTTACATATGGTAAGGTAACAAAAAATACATACACATATTATAAATCCGAAATTGTGTCTGTCTATTCATTTGGCACCTTTTTAAGATTAAAAGCTGAATATATTCTAATTGAACAAATAATATATGTCTATGTTTATCGCAAATAAATGATTTGTTGATTTGATTTAAAGAGGCTGTATCACGAGAATAGATATAGACTATCCTTTATCTCAAAAAACGGAGGTAAAAGTTTGTACAAACAAAGTTAAAGGTAACAGGTGTAATATATTTAAACATTTATGTCGCTCAAAGATTTCGCATAAAACATATTTTACTTTTAATCTCCTGTAAAGTTGACGCGCATACATCATACAAGAGAATACGGCTTACGAAATAGGGCAATACATAACGCGTATGAGATTAATGTACACCTATTATTCGTCGGTTGAATTCCAATAGAGTACGGTGGCGTAAAATATTTAGCCGCTTTATCGAGTACACGGCGAAACAGTATATCGAACGGAGGTTTTTCAGCGCCACATCACTATTTCATTCTTTTTAACAGCTCGCACGCTGACAGAAATTAATTCTGTGTACCACAATGTTCCAAATTTGAATCGAGTACACGACTAAATAGTATATCGAACGGAGGTTTTTCAACGGTACATCACTATTTCATTATTTTTAACAGCTCGCGCGCTGACAAAAATTAATTTTGTGCACCAGTTTCACAATGTTCCAAATTTGAAACTGCCAATTCTAAAGTTGAATTTGAAATTATTCTATTCGCTGTGTGACCTCACATATTAGGATACATGAATTCGTTCACTTAGTTTATTTATTATTCTCTAACTGGCACATCAGACTCGTGCCATTAGAACAGAATATGTTTTGTATGAAAACTACATTAAATTATTTAAGAACAATATTTTACATTATAGTAGTTATTTATATTGATTGGGTAGACATAATTCTACAATAATTCTTTCACTGGATTTGTTTTGAGGATATTTATATTCATACTAGCTGAGCCTGCGACTTCGGCTCCATATAACATTTTTGTTTTTAAACTGATAATTATATTTTTTTTTAATTAATTGTAAAACTTGCTTTTACTACCACGGTACAAGACCCCACACTATACCTAGTGTGGGGTCTTAGACAAACTGTTGTTTAAGTTAAGTATTCTTAAATAAAAGTTAATCTCGTTCCAGAGGACTAAGATGCCATCTTATCAATTCAAATTAAATCATTCAAAATATGTTTATTCATGTAGGGTGTTAGTCTGTAACACCCTATTTGTATAAACATATTTTGAATAATAAATAAATGATTTTCTTATGATACCGTCAGTTCAAACAACTTTCGAGCTAAGAAGGACTGACAAAAACTCACTTTTATTCTTTTGAAATAAGGTTGTGATTATATAGAAATACTGATTCATTTTTTAATTAAATTAGGGTATATATTATAATTTAAGGGTTACGCGCTTGCCGGTGGAGATCTTTCCACATTCCGCTATTATACATCGTATTGAATCTGTATCCAGAACTGGACGGTAGGGAAAAAATATTAATACAAAAAACTTGACGTTCATAAGCGGCTAAAATGTCCTGCATGAATTTTTATTTTGATTTGAATTTGATGTATATAGATAGATATACATAAATTGAATTGACAAATTCAACCTTCTGGTAGTTGTATCTGTCAATATCCGGGCCGCACATTACTAAGGTATCCGGGCCGAGTGCATTCCCAGATACACTGCGGATGGAATACCTGTTATCCGGAATCTTCAATATTATTCCTAATAGTACTGAAAATCCACCATAGAATGGAATGCAGACTTGAAGTGATATATTGGATAGATCTATTTATTTATTTACTTAAATCCT